TCATCCCAGCATCCCGTTCACTAGCTCCCAGTGTCAGGCTTTAGGGACTGGACACACAGTGGCTGAGAGGCGAGTCGCCCCGGGGATAATAAAGCTATCAGTCCCATGATAGTCATCCCAGATGTGAGGCCGGGACGGCCTGCACTGCGAGACCTGGTACATCCTCCACAGGAGCACAGGGAAGTCTTGTTCCCTGTGGTCGGAGAGCAGACGGGGCTTCCTGACAGGGGAAACGACACTGGAAGGACGGGCAGAGCCAACGATTCCGTCCGGCAGAGCCATGAGCTCAGAGGGGAAGCCAGAGAAGGTAAGAGGGTAAAACACCCGCCAGGCCAAGTGGGGCAAGACTTGTGGCAACTGGGAGCCACGGAAGACACCAGGGAAGGGATGGGGTCAGCCAGGTGCCACGCGGCAGTGGACCAGGACACTCCATCCTTGGACCGGGACTGGGACCACGGCCCTGAGGCCCTTCCTGTGTAGCCCGGACCCTGTTTCTGGCTCCCCGCAGTGTTCCTCAACCACCCCTCACAGCCTTGGGTGCGGCTCCTTCTCCTGCAGATTTCTGAAGCCAGGGTGCCCTTCCTTCTCCCCCCGCGCCCCCCGACAGGACTCTAGGGCTCTGTGCTCAAGAAATCATCAGCAACTCCCTTTCTTTACTCCTGGGGAAGGAAGATTTTCTGGGGCACGGCCACATATGGCCCACAGAGCCAAAAACACTGTCCGACCCTTTCCGGAAGCTTGTTGACACTTGCTCTCAGCTCCCCTCCCCGAGAATCTTCCCGTTAACGGTCCTCTCCGTCCCTCTCACAGCCCTTCCTGAGCACTCACTGGGCCGCACACACCTTCCTTCCAAGTCGCTTTGGTAAGGTTACAGCTCCCCTCAGCTAGAGCCTTTCAAAGACACAAGTGATACAACATAACCTTAGAAATGGAAAACTAAGGGGCACCTGGGTGGCTCAGTGGGTTAAAACCTCTGCCTTCGGCTCGGGTCATGATCTCAGGGTCCTGGGATGGAGCCCCGCATCAGGCTCTCTGCTCAGCAGGGAGCCTGCTTCTCTTTCTCCGCCTGCCTCTCTGCCTACTTGTGATCTCTGTCTGTCAAATAAATAAATAAAATCTTTAAAAAAAAAAAAAAATGGAAAACTAAAGCTGAAATTGGCCGTAAAGAACAACTGATTCTCAGCTTCTAGAAGGTGCCGCTCCTGGCGGGCTGGTTCGTTGGGGCGGCAGGGCGGGGCGGGGGAAACGAAGGGACAATTTTGCCCAGCGTGGAACTCCCTTGGACGGCAGGACATTTGGCATCTCTGCCCTCCCTCCCCAGTGACTCAGTTCCTCGAGTGACAACCAAAGGAACAGCCACACACCATAGGAGGGAAGGAGAGGGCAGCACCAGCCTTGATGAAAACCACAGGTCGAGTCCAACGTCCTCACTCCACAGAGGAGGAAGCAGGCCAGAGACAGTGTACCATTCTCCCCGTAAGTCCAGCAGGGAGGGTCAGAACCAGAAGTATGTCCAAGTGTCCTGACTCTCAGGGAAGGGCTTTTTCTGCCCTGACAGTCCTCCCACAGGGAACACAATGGCTGTGTGTGTGGGGATTCTATGCAGATGTGCCAGGAGACTGTCCAACCGGCAGCCCTGTTTTCAAGCTCAGGGAGATGAGGTCTCAGGGAGGAGTGTGGGGGCAGGACAAATGGTGGAATCCGACGTTCCCTGCCCAAAAGTCCTTTATGACACCCTGGCCAGGACTGACAAAACCTCACAAGTTGGTTAACAGTTTGCTCCTCTTGAGAATTTCTCATATTTTATTTACTGTTAAAAAAAACAAAACTGCTTGAGCACCTCTGTGGTGGATATAAGGATTTATTATAAAAGTCTCCATACTTTGTATTATTTTTTATTTTTTTGGTTGTCAGAACAAAAGCCCCATATATCCCTATCACAAATGGGCACATCTGTCCCCTCCTCAGCCACCCTCAGCAGCCATCTGCAGAATGGCGCCAAAGGAGGCTAACTGTGCCCAAGAACTTCCCCTACATCAGTGTCGTCAAGAATCAGCCCTGATCTACACAAGACTAGCGGGATAAACTTCCGATAGGTCAGATCCCCACAGGTTCCAACTCAGATCCTCTATCTCTTCCCCCTGAACATGGGACTCCTCTGGTTCTCCAGGTGAGCTCCCCACTCCCACCTGGGGCTGTCTCACCCACAGCTGAAGTTCCGGGCGTCCTGATGGGCTAAGGGTAAGGGAAGTAACGTCAGCCTTACAAAACACACAGTGGCCCGCAGAAGCGGTGTCATCTGTGAATTCCAAATCCCCTTACCAAGAGTTCAGCCCGTGCCTGCTCCCCCTGTGCCCGACGCCTCTTCTTTAAGTCCTTCACTCTTTTCAGGTGGTCCAGCTGGTTCTGGATTTGCTCCTGAGGAAAGCACAAACAGGTGCACAGTTCAAGATTAGGCAGACCTTAGCATCAGCACGGCTCACGTGCTTATCACATGCAACCACTCCTGAGGCCACGTCCCTGCTTAGCGCCTGTCCTTGGACTTCCTGCCATCGGCAGGGCACAGGGGTCTCCACACCTCTCTGTGGCAGTCTGTGTGTATCTTAAACTGGTGGGTCACCTGCCCATCCCTGGACGGATACTGGACAGCTCAGTGGAAAGGTGAGTGGACTGTGAGGCTTAGAGCTGGGTTGTGGCTCTCCACAGACACATACAGAGAAAATGAGTTAACGTCTCATTTTCCTCACATGTGGCATAGGCGAATACCACCTCCCCAACCTACTCCTGAGTTACTGCCAGTGTAAAACAATATATCCAAAAGTACCATGAATGCTAAGTAATTAATTATGCACAAACGTACACACATTTAAACATAACTGTATACCTTTCTGTCCTCCAGCGGGCAAATACACAGATAACAGAATGTTGCCTTACAACTGTTCTAGTCAGCACTTTGTATCCATGTCATTGTTTGGCCGTGCGCCTCCACCGGTCCAACGGTTCACAAAGATCTACCCACTCATTTGATTCCGTGTAATCTTCATGGTAACTGTGTAATCTGGTTAAAGGACTTCAGCGGGAAAGAGCTGCTCTTTTCCATGGGCTTCTAGAACAGGCCGGAGTACAGGGAAGCGCTGGGGAAATGCTCACAGACTAAGTGATGGGCACCTGCGGGAGGGGCACATAGCCAGTTGACGTCCGAGTGTGTTTTGTGTGAGATCACCCGTGATCCGATAGGAGCACGAGCTTGGCGGTGGGTGCCTGCTTTTACGCACATCCTTTACACCGTCAGGGAGCGGGCGGGTTCTCGGTGCGTAACGTGCCGGAGAGCCGGGAGACCCAGGGGCCCCTCGGGGGGGAGGTGCGGGGGTGGGGGGACACTTCTGGCTTCCTCACCAGCTACAGGTTCTCCCAAATCTGAGTGCGGAGGCTCTGGAGCGGACAGAGAGGAAATGACGGCTGTGAACCACACGTCCGGCTCAGCCATTTTCTAGGCGGAAAAGAGGAAGCCCCTTGGCTCTCTCCTCCCTTTGTCCGCTCGCGCTCCCGCCCCTCCCTCGCCGCGCCGCCCTCACCTTGAAGCCCTCCACCGCCTCCTCGAGCGGCAGCACGCTGTGGCCGCGGTGCTCACGGGAGCGGTCGCACACCACGCAGATGGGCATCTGGTCCTCCTCGCAGTACAGCTTCAGCGGCTCGCGGTGCTTCTCGCACACGCCCATCTCGCCCCCGGGCCCCGACGGCCGCTCGGTGCGCAGCTGCTTCACCAGCTGGGTCACGTTGGCCAGGTGCCGGTTGGGCCGCATGTGCCGCTGTGGGAAGGTCTCCCGGCACTGCGGACACGACACGTTGGTCTCCGCCGCGCCCCAGCAGCGGGTGAGGCACGCGCAACAGATGTTGTGGCCGCAGTCGAGCATCATGGGCTCGGCGAAGTACTGCAGGCACACGGGGCAGGTGGTCTCCTGCTGCAGGCACTCGGCCACGCTCCCGGAGGCCATGGCGCGAGCCCGCGGGGGCGCACGGGCATGGGCCCCGGAGCCCAGCTCTGCGCGGAGCCCAACTCTGCCGCGCGCTCTCCCGCTCGCGGCTTCCGGGCGGCGCGGGGAGGCGGGCGGGCGGAGGGCGGCGCCTGCCGGCCCGGATCACAGGCGCGCGCGCGCGTGCGGGTCCCCGGCGTGGCTCGGGCCTCCCTGCGCCGCGGTGTCCCCGCCGACCGGGCCTAGGGGGTCGCGCGGCCCCGCCGAGCCCCGCGGCTGCGCGAGGGGCCGCCGAGGGGCGCCGCCGGCCGGACTCGCGCAGCCGGCGCTCGGGGCGCGCAGGACAACGTGGCCGCGTCCGAGCGGATCCCGGAGCGAGCGGAAGGGGCGGCCCCGGGGCGGGGCTTGGCGCGGGCCCCTTTCGCGACGCGCCTTAGCGGCCTCTGGGGCGCACGGTTCCACCCGGAGCGAATGGCGCCCCGCCAGGAACCCGGAACGCGGTAACCCCACCTGCGCGCTGCGGGCCCCGCGCCGAGTTCCCGCGGCCTGGGCCTGGACCCCGAGGCGTTTGTTGGGTGTCCTGCCGGGCGCCCAGGCTTCGGCGCCGCAGAGCGCGGGCTTGATGTGGGTGCGGCTCGGGAGATGCCTCGCCTTCCCAGGAGGCCGGAGGAGGGGAGTAGCCAACTGAGTTGCACCATTCAACATCCCTACTTGCAGGCCCTTGCAATTTTGTTTCGAAAAAGAAAGTTAATTACCTGATGGCAACATTTCTGCAAGACAGAATGAGTCAGACAAGCCCTGTTCGGGTTCTTCCCATTGTGCCGGAGCCAACTGGTGTCTCTTCTCCCGAGAAACCGGGATGAGCATTATAGCCCAACAAGGAGGGAGACCTCATCACATCTTTGAGGTTTTTAACCAGCCGGTGTTCATCCATTAGCGTAGAAAACACACAGTGCGTGCGGTATTGAATAGGACCCAGCTCGCGCGTGCTCCTTCCCGAAGTGCAGGAGACTCCAATACGATCCAGTGATCCAGTAGATTTACCCACAGTTCCGGCCTTGGCATTTCCGGGTCTCCTTTGGTGTTTCCTCAGTATTGACTTCATCCTCTTGATTTCATTGAATCCAGACAGCCTTGCCCTGCTTTATTTCTCAACTTGCCTCTAGGTACTGTCATTTCCATTATTACACCTTGGCCAGAATGATTTCAACAGGTGTCAGTTTGCAGGTGTGTTTAGATGAGTTGGTAGCAGGCTGGCTGTGAGCATGTCCACTCATTTCCCTATTGCAAGTCTTTCCCTCTAACCCTCTCACCTCCGGGGTGAGAATCATCCTTAGAAAACTCCTACAATGCCCCTTTCATTCTCTCCCTTCTCACTCAGAAATCTTCATAGCCTCCTTTTGGGCCTCCAGGACATTGTTCAAACCCATGAGCATGGGGTTAGCACTTCTGGCCTCCAGCATGAACTAACGCCTTCACTCTCCTCCTAGGAAGCCATCATCCCAACCCAGCCTGGTGGGGCTTGGGCTGTGCCCACCACAGTCCTCTGCAAGGCCTGCTCAGCAGTCCTGCTCCTTCCTGAGCGGATAGCCTAAACAAATGACCACACTGACCTCTCTCCTTTCCAGTCAGCCTCCCACATTCAAATAGAACCTCAGATTCTGAGTACTTATTTTCTGGGGGAGGACTTTGATTACCTTGTATAGAACACTCACCTCTCTCTCAAAGTTCTCCATCAGGGCATATGTTTAAATTAGGAAGTGTCTTTGGTTTTCATGTAGTTCAACATCTTGCTGACGCCTGAGATTTCCCCAAATGTGGGAAACTCGACCACATAATTTGTGGGAGTTGGGGACTGTGTTCTTTCTTTCCCCTGTTAAAAAATAATAAATAGGGCGCCTAGGTGGCTCAGTCATTAAGCGACTGCCTTTTGCTCAGGTCATGATCCCAGGGTCCTGGGATCGAGCCCTGAGCCCTTCATTGGGGCCCCTGCTCAGCGAGAAGCCTGCTTCTCCCTCTCCCATTCCCTCTGCTTGTATTTCCTCTCTCGCCGTGTCTCTCTCTGTCAAATAAATAAAATTGTAAAAAACAAACAAATAAATAAGGAAACTGGTATCAGATGCTTAAGTGGAAACAAAGACTCCCCTCCAGACTCTCTCTGATCTCAATTTGTAGTCCCTCTAATCACACTGAAAGTCATCATTATTATTTATCTATTTGTAAAGTGACCAGCATGCAAACATAAATGCTGGTTAAAAGCAAGAGGGGAACTGCAATGAGCAGTCTAGACCGGGGGCCAATACAGAAAGACGAGGACAGTGACTCATGGTAGGACGGATGTGTCTCCCCAGAGGCAGCTACTTCTCTCGCTACAGATTGCCATTGAGAACCTGGGCCCAGCATACTGCCAGATTTTCAGTCAAGAGAAAGCAGAAATCTGGAGGGTTTTTCTTTTTTTAAAGGTTTATTTATTTATTTTAGATTGCCGGGAGAGCATGAGCTGGGGGCGGGGGCAGAGGGAGAAGGACAAGCTGACTCCGTGCTGCGCACAGCCACCGATGCTGGCATGATGCTGGGACCCTGGGACCACAACCTGAGTCGAAACCAAGTTGGAAGCTTAACCAAGTGAGCCACCCAGGCCTCCCAGAATCTGGAGTTTTATATGAAACCTATTGACTTTTAAGTGTTGGAAACTAAAAATTGTACAATCATCTGTGCAGATGAGGTCGAGCTCCTGGCCTCCAGCCTGGGACTTCTGGTACACATATTTGTTTTAATAAGTTCTTTTCAACCTTAATACAGCATAGAAAGGACTGTTCACTATTTTATTGCCAATCTCCACTCCTTCCTTAATTTTATTGCAGATGGCAATATACTCAGCTCAAAGGTACTGCCCTTTGTGGCCGGCACTCAGCCAGGCTCACGAAGGCAACACTACCAGCGGAACCGTGTCTGGCTGCTTATGATCTGTCGCGCAGGTCCTGAGGCCTCCATCCAGCCTGGCCCAAAAACGTCACCAAAGGTTCTTGGTCTCATCAGGAGACAGAATTCAAGGACAGACACACAACATAGTGGATGAGAGACACAACCAGGGAAGTTTACTAAAGTGAAAGTACCTGAGCACCTGCCTTTCGCTCAGGTCGTGATCCCAGGGCTGGCATGGAGTCCTGCCTCGGGCATCTCCATCAGCAGGGAGTCTACTTCTCCCTCTGTCTCCCTCTCTGCCTGCTTGTGCTCCGTCTCTCTGGCAAATGAATAAATAAAATCTTTTTTAAAAAGCAGTGAAATTACCTCAAGATGTGAGAGGAAGAAACAGAGAGATGGAGTGGGCTACAGGGGTGGAGAGGGACAGGGCAAGGGAGTGTGCAAGCCAGCGAGCCGCCTGCCTGTGGGGTTCACCTTCTGTCTTCTACCAACAGTTGTTAACTAGGGCAAGGATTTCTTGGAAGCAGGGATTCGATGCCTTTTCCTCCTCACTTGCTCAAGGGTTTCCTGTCGTGGTGCCGCCATCTTGGGCCTGTCTGATGGGATCCGGCTTCTCTTGGATGCTGCCTGGACCTGCCTCTGACCTTCCCCACAGCCTGACATGGCCTCCTCCTTGCTGGCCTCCAGGCATCCTGTTAGAGTCTAAAGTAACTGTGAGCTCTAACACTGGGATGAACCTCTGTCCTTCCTTCTCATTCAGCCCAGAATGTGCACAGGATGGTTGGAACTTGGGCAGCTGCCCTGGACCATGAAGCCGTCTTGAGCGCCGGGAGCCAATTAGCATGGTGTAGTGAAAGGTAAATAAGCCGGTCCTTATACACTACGGCTTACGTCAGACTTCGTATATGTGAGTGGGACTAAAGCCAGTGTCTTGTTTAAGCCTCTTATTTGGTTTGTCTGCATATGCAACAAAAAACTAAACCTAACTAATAAAGTACAGTTATTTTTAAAAACAATTTTCCATATTTTTAAAAATTTATATTCAATTAACTAATATATAGTCTACTATTACTTTCAGAGGTAGAGGTCATTGATTCATCAGTCTTATATTGTTGGGTCCATGGTCAAAGGAGCGAGACTGATACAAAGCAAAGTTGAAGTAAAGCTTTATTTCGCGCCAAGCATCAAGAATCAAACTGACCTGCCAGGGCCGTCCCTTGCAAAGAGGCGACCCCTCTCTTCTTTACAGACTAGCTTTTAAGGGCAAAGGCCATGTGGTTGGGCCTGGCCACGCACAGGGGACCAATGAGACTGTAACACAGAGAAAGCTGCACAGTCCTGCTAGGTCACACATAAGTGACCAATTGAATTGGAATTTACCCTATAGTAGATATTTGAAGTAGCCTATCACTTTGGTCAGAATTGGCGGCCAAAGGGCACCCAAAGGGCGGGGCCCATACTCCTTGGTAGCTAGGGAGACAGTATGCGCCGCTACTGATTGGCTACCTCCACCCTGCCTGACCCACCCTTGTATTTGGGCTCTGTTACCTGGGACTGGTTTCCGGGACTAGTTTTTAAGTGAGTCCCCTGAGGGGGGCGGGCAGGGCCAGGGTGGAGCGGCTCTGGCTAAACAGGCCCTCACAGCATAAAACCCAGTGCCCACTGCATCACGCGCCCTCTGCAATGTCCATCCCTGATTACCGCCACTCACCTCTCCTCCCGCAGCCTGTTCGTTTCCTGTGATTAAGAGTCTCTTATGGGGGCTCCTGGGTGGCTCAGTTGGTTAAGAAACTGCCTTTGGCTCAGGTCATGATCCCAGGGTCCCGGGATCAAGTCCCACATTGGGTTCCTCCTCCTCTGTGGGGAGCATTCTTCTCTCTCCCTCTGCTGCTCCCCCTGCTTGTGTTCTCTCTCTTTCTCTCTGTGTCAAATAAATAAATAAAATCTTTAAAAAAAAAGAATGAATTTATATATTAAAAAATAAAAGAGTCCCTTATGGTTTGTCTCCTTCTCTGATTTCATCTTGTATTATTTTCCCCTCTCTTCCCTTATGCTCCTCTGTTTTGCTTCTGAAATTCTACGTGAGTGAGATCATATGGTAATTGTTTTTCTCTGACTGACTTATTTCTCTTAGCATAAAACCCTCTAGTTCCATCCACATCATTGCAAATGGCAGGATTTCATTTTTTGATGGCTGAGTAATACTCTACTATGTATGTGCGCGTGCGTGTGCGTGTGTGTGTGTGTGTGTGTGTACCACATCTTCTTTATCCCTTCATCTGTAGGTGGACATCTAGGTTCTTTCCATAGTGTGGCTATTGTGGACATTGCTGCTATGAACATTCGGGTGCACGTGCCCCTTTGGATCACTACGTTTGTATCTTTGGATAAATGCCCAGTAGTGCAATTGCTGGGTCATAGGGTAGCTCTATTTTTAACATCTTGAGGAACCTCCATGCTGTTTTCCAGAGTGGCTGCACCAGCTTGCATTCCCACCAACAGTGTAGAAGGGTTCCTGTTCACATCTTCACCAACATCTGTTGTTTCTCCTGAGTTGTTAGTTTTAGCCATTCTGACTGGTGTGAGGTGGTATCTCATTGTGCTTTTGATTGAAAATACAAGTATTATATTAATAAAATATTTTATTTCATTTTAAAGATTTATGTATTTATTTTATATAGAGAGAATGTGCACAAGCAGGGGGAGGGGCAGAGGGCCAGGGAGAGAGAATCTCAAGCAGATTCTATGCGGAGCATGAAGCCTGAGGTGGGACTTGATCCCATAACCCTGAAACCATGACCTGAGCCAAAACCAAGAGTCAGATGCTCACCCAGGTGCCCCTCAAATATTTTATTTCAAAATTGATTCCTACCTACTCCCTCTACTCAATCCAGCTACCCTAAGGGTACCTGTAATTTCTACTAGTCTTAGCTAAATCCAGAGGACACTTTGCAGTCTTTATCTTAATGGTTTGGGGACATTTGACACTCTTGACCCCTCCCTCCTGGGACCCTTCATCCCCAAGGCACTAAACTGAGCGGGATCGACCCCATCACCCACGCTCTAATAAAACCATCTTTCTTGTACTGAAAATCTCTCTCTTTTTTAAAAAAGATTTTATTTATTTATTTGACAGAGAGAGATCACAGTAGACAGAGGCAGGCAGAGAGAGAGGGGGAAGCAGGCTCAGAGAGCCTGACGCGGGACTCAATCCCGGGACCCTGAGATCATGACCTGAGCCGAAGGCAGCGGCTTAACCCACTGAGCCACCCAGGTGTCCCTGTACTGAAAATATCTTAAGAAATCTTTCTTGACTGTGGTTGCCAGACCCCCAACATCATACCACATTGATGTGGTTTTGGAATACAGGTGAGGTTCAGCAGGGTAGAGTCTGGAGCCCATGACCAAGAAGGAACTGTGGAGGCATCTTTGGTGCAAAACAGTGGTTTATTAAGGCACGGGGCCGGGGCCTGTGGGCAGAAAGAGCTGCTGCCTGGGGTTGTGGGGGGGCGGCTGATTATAGACTTATGGGGTTGGGGGAGGTAAGGAAAAGGGAGGGTTTGAAAGAACTTTCATATGCTAAAGAGGACCTGAAAGATACCAGAGGCCTTGCCATTGTCAAGTGAAGGTTGTTTTCCCCTCTAGCAAGGCATTACGTTTGAGACTTTGAGAGGGCTGGGAGATCCTGGAGGAATGTCCCACCCAGGAGTAGGGGGTGGGGGGAGGTCGCAGGGAGTCAGCTTCTGCTTTGTCCTCAGCTTGCCTCCTGCTCCCTCGTCACCAGATAAAGCTAGACAAATCATCACACTGTCTTGAAAATCCTATTCAGAAAGTAATTACCTACAACCACTTTCCCTGAAATGTCTTTGGCCCCTGCGAAAGGACGTCGGGAAGGGCAGTCTTTCAGAGCACATATTGCTAACCAGTATGAACACTGGGGCTCCTATGCAAAGAAGGAGGAAGGTGAACGTGGGTATTAGCAGTTTCCGTCACAAGCCCTGAGTCAGCAATATCTGTGACCTAACTTCGGTGTCTAGGAAACACCTTCTTTTGCCTCTTCCCTTCGCCCCATGTCCCTGATGTCACTCAAAATAGTAGGTGAAATATGACCAGAGCCAATCCTGCCCTGTTCCGCATCTCGTCCTTGTCTGCTTCATCTTCCAGCATCTTCCCTCAGCCCAGAGCCAAACGTCACAGGAAGACAGCCTGACGGGTGTGTGTGCGCGATGCAGGCTGAGTCACGGGGGCCACACAAGCTGTCATGTGCGCTGGGAGGGCCCACGGAATAACAGAAACCACTGTGCTGGGGGGAATACCACGTTCTGGAGAAGATGAAGGCCAGACCTGTCATTAACCAAGGCCCAGTTCCTGATGGCACAAAAACCATGAACGCAAGATGAGAAAACCTTCCTAACAAAATGAGAACCGTCTCCAGTGCAGGGATGGTAAAAAGCCTGCTCCTCCTTCGCTCATCTTACCCCAGACGGATGAGCATTTCGGGGCAGTGCGCAGAAGGGGACAAAGTCAGGAACCCTACAGCCCCTCGTCAGCCTCTCGTTTCCTTTGCCATCTTGCTGATCTGGAAGGGATGGATGGGTAGCCAGGGGGAGGGGTGCAAAGAGCAGGGTGGAGGGAGGGGCTTGCCAGGTCCACAATTTTAAAATCCTGCCAAGAAGTGATCAGACTTCAGGAATCTGGAGGCATTTCCACATTTCTGCGTTGGCGTGAAAAGCTGGTGGACCCTTTGTATTTTTTGAATTTTGTGCCATGTGCATGCCTTCATTCTCCAAGGCAAATTAAAAGAAAATAAAGACACAGATGAATTCTCAAGGATATAAGACACTCCTTTCTGCACAGAAAAATGGGTACTCTGCTTTAAATTTTGACCTGTCAAAATGGTTTTGCCTGAGTAAAGGAATCAGAAATTGCCTTTTTGATTTTGAGAAATATTGGCCCATTTACAAACAACCTCTGAAATTTCTTCTAACAGTAAAAGAAACGAGGTATTTCATTTTGAGATAACAGTCTCTCAATTCCTCAGCATCTGGAAATTTCTGTTATAAGACGTCATCCATCTTGCTATTTTCAGGTTTACTTACTATTCAAATCTTTTTTTTGGGGGGCGGGGTTCTAGTGAGAAAAACAAGGAGAACCAAAGTAGTTAAAAAGAACAAAGAGCAAAGAAAGAAATCATCAAAAATGTGTTAGTTTAAAAAAAATGTGTTAGTTTAAAAGTGATGGTACACACTACAATGTGATTCTGTCATTAAAAAGAATGTATGTAACTGTACACAAAGATAAACTCGAAATGGATAAAAGACCTCAACGTGAGACAGGAATCCATCAGAATCATAGAGGAGAACATATGCAGTCACCTCTTTGATATCAGCCACAGCAACTTCTTTCAAGATATGTCTCCAAAGGCAAAGGAAACAAAAGCAAAAATGAACTTTTGGGACTTCATCAAGATCAAAAGCTTCTGCACAATAAAGGAAATAGTCAACAAAACAAAGAGGCAACCCACGGAATGGGAGAAGATATTTGCAAATGACAGTACAGACAAAAGGTTGATATCCAGGATCTATAAAGAACTTCTCAAACTCAACACACACAAAACAGATAATCATGTCAAAAAATGGGCAGAAGACATGAACAGACACTTCTCCAATGAAGACACACAAATGGCTATCAGACACATGAAAAAATGTTCATCATAACTAGCCATCAGGGAGATTCAAATTAAAACCATATTGAGATACCACCTTACACCAGTTAGAATGGCCAAAATTAGCAAGACAGGAAACAACATGGGTTGGAGAGGATGTGGAGAAAGGGGAACCCTCTTCCACTGTTGGTGGGAATGCAAGTTGGTGCAGCCAATTTAGAGAACAGTGTGGAGATTCCTTAAGAAATTAAAAATAGAGCTTCACTATGACCCTGCAATTGCACTACTGGGTATTTACCCCAAAGATACAGATGTAGTGAAAAGAAGGCTCATCTGTACCCCAGTGTTTATAGCAGCAATGTCCATGGTCACCAAACTGGGGAAAGAACCAAGATGCCCTTCAACAGACGAATGGATAAGGAAGATGTGGTCCATATACACTATGGAGTATGATGCCTCCATCAGAAGGGATGAATACCCAACTTTTGTGTCAACATGGACAGGACTGGAAGAGATTATGCTGAGTGAAATAAGTCAAGCAGTGAGAGTCAATTATCATATGGCTTCACTTATTTGTGGAGCATAACAAATAACACGGAGGACATGGGGAGATGGAGAGGAGAAGGGAGTTGAGGGAAATTGGAAGGGGAGGTAAACCATGAGAGACTATGGACTCTTGAGAAACAAACTGAGGGTTTTGGAGGGGTGGGGGGTGGGGGTTGGGTGAGTCTGGTGGTGGGTATTATGGAGGGCATGTATTGCATGGAGCACTGGGTGTGGTGCAAAAAACAATGAATTCTGTTACGTTGAAAAGAAATTAAATTAAAAAAAAAAGAATGCAGTACTGATGTGAAAGGACACCACATTCCATTTTGTTAGAAGCAAGTTGCAGCACCTTGTGTAGAATGACTCTCTTTTTGAAGATTGATTGATTGATTGATTTGACAGAGAAAAAGAGAGAGATCACAAGCAGGCAGAGAGGCAGGCAGAGAGAGAGGGGGAAGCAGGCTCCCCACTGAGAAGAGAGCCCGATGCGGGGCTGGATCCCAGGACCCTGAGACCTTGACCGGAGCCGAAGACAGAGGCCCAACCCACTGAACCACCCAGGCGCCCCTAGAATGAATTTTTTTGTAAGATAATAATGTACAAATGTACACACTAAAAAAATACATAGAGGAATATAACCCAAATCTGTAAGGGTGTGATGCATTGTGGGCGCCGGGGGTGGCTCAGTGGGTTGAGCGTCCAACTCTTGGTTTCGGCTCAGGTGGTGATCTCAGGGCCGTGAGATCAATCAGTGTGGAGTCTGCTTGGGATACTCTCTCCTTCTTCCTTAGCAGCCCCTGCTCTCGCTCGCGCTCTAAAATAAATAAAGTTTTTAAAAATGGGTGTGATGTATCAGAAGAACTGGGAGGAGGAGACGAGTGACGTCTACAGTCTAAGCTGCATTTTTCTACAATATATGTTTTATTTTACTACAAGCAAACACTGTTCAGTACAGATAATTTAAGGGTTATAAAGAGGGAGGGATTTTAGAGAGCTAGGCAAGAGACCAGAGGGTTACAAGCCTAGAAGTCAAGTCATTCTCTCTCCTCAGATTTTTTTCCCCCAAAACTTAAAACTGTCCCTCTTTGTGCTCAAATCCTTTGCGGCTTACCCGGAGCCACCCAGGTGCCCCTGACCTGTCCTTCTAGACAGCAAGGGTTTGGGGGATTTTTGTTGAGTACAGGCACTTGGATTATTTTTTTTTTAATTTTTTTTTTTAAGATTTTATTTATTTATTTGACAGACAGAGATCACAAGTAGGCAGAGAACCAGGCAGAGAGAGATAGGAGGAAACAGACTCTCTGCTGAGCAGAGAGCCCGATGCGGAGCTCGATCCCAGGACCTGGGATCATGACCCGAGCTGAAGGCAGAGGCTTTAACCCACTGAGCCACCCAGGCGCCCCTTGGATTATTTTTTTTAATTAAAAAAAACTTTATTATTTATAAAAAGGGAAAAAAAGACAAAATACAGAAACAAAAGAAGCAAGAGTACGTGTAATGGAAGGCGTTACATTTTGCTGTGATTTGCTGACAGATGATGGGAACTCATAGTTTTACCTGTTTACATTTTATTGGGACTGTACAGAAATTCTTTAGTATAGACTTTTTTTTTTGTGGCATAAATGAAGTTAACCTTAAGTATTTTAACTTTTGTAAGTAATGTTCATCCAGAAACATTTGTCTAATGAAAACAAATCTGGACTTAGCGGAGACTTTATTCAAAAGGATAATCATAAGGAAGAAAAGGGACTCTTGAAATAGGGAGAAGTCTGTGCAAGTCCCTGAGAAGTTAGAGTTTTTTGGGATTTTTCAGTTTTGTTTTCTTGTTAGTTTTATTTATTTCTTTTCATGGTTAATTACATATTTCTTGAGCCCGCATCATAATACAGCCCCTGGGGTACAACGATAAACAACAAAGCCATGTTCCTTGCCCTTATGGTTTCTATATTCAAG